TCTTTAACAGATTTCTGTTTTGCAGATAGAAAGCTTAGACAAGAGTTTAGAAGATTTGTTGACCAGAGTGGATGAATTTGTGGGAATGCTGGACATGGTATGTATAACTTGCGTGTAGTTGTGCTTCTGAAGTCAGAATACATTTTAATGTGTGTTTATGTTTTTAAATGAGACAGAGATAGGAAGCAGCCTTTGGTCTAGGCAGGTTCCAGTATGAAAACACGTTTGATAGTTAGATAACTCATGGATGAAAACTACCAGACTGTCACGTCAGAGAGCGATATGCCCATGCAGCTATGTAATTGCATATTTACGTAATTGTATTTGTATATTTTTCTGTACATATGTGGAATCCCATTTTGAATGGCACAATGGCAGATATTTAAAAGAACAATATGATATTCTACTTCTCCTTTAAAATACCTGAAGACGTTCTCTGTGGTTTTTGTAATCAGAGTATCTAGTCGGAGCTGCTAAACCTCCGAAGCTAGATTTGTCTTTAGGGGACCCTTTCATCGGAAGGGCAGCTTTGTTTTCACTTTCGCATGGCAAGAGAGGGGGGAACCGAATGGAAAGTTCCTCTAAACTGACACTTGTACACAGGCTGTCTTTTAAAGTGTAGCATGTGTGATTCTCCTGCGCTACTCTAAGAGGAACTTTACTTTTTTTTAATACCAATAAAACAAGATTTTTGTGGGCCTTTTTAGCAAAGTTGAGGAAATGTACAAGTAGTTAAAATTTAACTCACAATTTTAGTTTAATATATTTGATTCTTTAGTATGTCTTGGGAAATATTCCATCTTAGTTCTGATAAGGCTGTAGCAGTCTATTTTTAATACAATTATAAATGTAAATATTTGCCTATGCAAAATAAATGTTCTTCGAAGTTCCTTACTAAACTATACAAAGAAACTACAGTATTAGTTTTAAGCTAGTATTTTTATACTAATGCTAATCTGATACTTTTAAACTATGAGTTTTAATCTGTTAATTGGAGCACAGTTCTAGTTTCCAGAATGAAATTACTAAACCTCTTGTTTTAATCATCGATTTTTGTATTTCTTTGAATCATCTTTAGATTCGAAGCGATTCCTCGCAAGTTGTCAATGAAAGTATACCTCAAATTTACACAAAAGCTACAGAAATGAGACAAATATACAGGAAGATTGACAAACTAGAGGTATGTATTTGATATTTTCTAGATGTGTTCTGTTTCTTAATGAGGGGAAGGACCAACGATATGATATAATTATGTGTGTGTGCGCCTGCATGCATGTGCGGTGGCCTCAGATCTGTTTTGCTCTCCATGTCCAATCTGGGTTCAATTCTTCAGACTTAATAAAGAGAACACAATTTATTAAGAATTTCTGGAGACTATGGGCATTCTAAAACAAAATGCCTTTTTTTAAAAAAGTGGGGTTTTTTTAGATTTATTTAGTGCTTGAAGCAAGGCAGACATCTTTTTTTGGAAAGCAACAGTACCACTTCTTGGGTTTTGGTTTTGTTTTTTTTTTTATAGTATCTTTCAAAGTTGTTGCCTTGGGAGCTATTCCGAGACTAGTAGAATGAGAAGTCTGTTGATCCCTGGTAAAGCCTCAAAACTGATTCAGATGCTTGGTCCCACTTCTAGTAGAAAGGCAGATAGATTCGAAGTCTAAATTAGTTATTTGGAAGGCAAATAGGAAAAGGAAGACTGATTGTTTTGTTAGATTTAACGTGTTTTTGCAGCCTTTTAAGTATCTTAAGTAACTTTTAGCAATAAAATGGACTTCTAGGTAGGAGGGAAATAGAGCATGGATTTTTTGACGACTGCTTGTTTAAGTAATGGAACTTTCACCATGTTGTGCAATACATAATCCTGTTTTAATCTGTTAGTGAAAAAGTTGGATTTCTTCTGATTTTTTTCACACTAGGCTTTTGTGAAGATGATTGGAAATAGCGTAGCTGGACTGGAAGAACGGGTCATAAAGGCAGAAACAGACCTTGGAGCTTTTCCAAGCACATTCAAGAAAATCTTGCACACAATCAGCATACCATCCTTCCTTAATGTAAGTAAACTTTTGTTACCATGTGACCAGCTTAGCTGCTCTGCTTACCGAAGTAGATGATTCAAATAATAGTAAGTTTGTTACACGCATATCTGAATTTAACTGTAAAACTTTTATATAGTTTATTAGGATTTTTGCAAAGTTCTCAGACTTCATTAAAAAAAAACCAAAAACAAACAAACAGACAAACTTAAAAGTCACAAATTCTTACAAGGATTTGTGTAACTTTCTGAAATAAGGCTGAATGCAAGGAGGGAATGGGAAGGGCACAAACAAGCACAGAATGCACAAGCCTTTATATTAAAGCCCCCTGATCTCTGATGGTATGCAAAGCAAGTAGGAAGAGCCTGTACAGAAAACACCGTTAAAGGATCATACTGCATTGATACTATCACTGCAGAAATATTACCAAAAAAGGAAATAAAAACTGCAGTGCACAATACTTTAAAAAATATAGGTTCTACTTATAGGTTCTACTTATACTCGATCCACACAGTTCAGTAATCATGTGAGCACCTTGTTAAACTTTCTAAGGATGCAGTTTTCTCTGTCTTTCCTTGTTACTGCAAGTGGACTGTTTCTTTACAGAAGACTTGAAGTGCTGTCTCTGGTGTGTTTCAAAGAAATGCCTTACCTAACCTTAAACTGGCACTATGCCCTAGTTTTAAAATAACCTTCTGGTTCAAAAAAAACCCCAAAACCTTCTGAACACCTGATGTTTCTTGACATCTCCTGCCAGTACACCATTTAGAAGTACTCTTCCTTGCATCTTGTCAGCTCCCAAATTCTTTTCTTCATCTTTTCCTACATTCATCCTGTACTGACTCAGGTTTCTGTATCATAATACTGGTGAGAATGCTGAAATAAAGTAGGTTTGCAGAGAGGGAGAGCAAGACGGTTATGGCTGTTTGAGCTATTTGTGTTCCTACATATTGCAAGCATGTGTGGCAGCAGAGAAAAATAGATATAAAAAGAGTATGTATTGTCTTGTTAAGACTTAGTTCAGGAAACCTGTTCTTCACTGCTATTTTCTGTGCAGTCTTTAAGTTAGTTAACTTCTCATTCCTTCATTTTCTTTGGTGGTTAAGTTTAGAGTGATGTCATTTTTTCTTTTAAATAAACAACACAGAGCTGCTATTTATGGGCCAGTTACAAAACCAAACAACTGAAGCAGTTGCCTTGAAGAATATTCAACAGTGTTTTCGATTTTGTTACGAAAACCAGTTGTCAGCCACGAAATTATGATCTTCAAATGAAAAGTTTGAAAGTTCTAAGAAAGTGCTTTTTTTTTAGTGTTGCATGGGAACACTTTGTCAGCTTAGCAGTTTTTCCACAATGAATAAGGTGGAAAGTCTTTGGAAGTGTCAGCAAACTGAACCTGGTATGTCCAGCGGTTTCTTGGTTTGAGTATGGACGGCAATAAAATCAACACTCAGAACTTACTGGCATTGAATGATTAACTAAAAGGCAGGTCACTGTTCCACAGCAGTACTGAGTATTGCATAGTAAAATATCTATTTTCACTAGTAAACACAAGCATGTCTGAATGAAAATGCCTATAGAGATTTCTTCTCATGCCTAACATTTAACTAGCTCACTCGATATATCAGTACTTTGGAAAAGAAGGCTATACTGATGTCATGATTTTCACTGTAGCTGTAGTTCGCGTTTTCCTGCTATGATTTTAATTTAGTCAAGTCCCCTCGCTCTCTTCCCATTTAAATGTATCTGTTTCTTTACACAAAGGATATATTTTGTATTTCTCAAGCTGTGTATTTGTAATCTCACTTTCAGATTTTGCCCCAAGTTCTTCCCTTGTGAATACCAGGCAGTGTAAAGTACAGTACTGTAAGACTTCTAATATCACTAAGGATGTAGACTCTCTCAAAAGGTAAAAATGTCTGCTAAGCAGCTGCAAAGATAACTAATCATAAATGTATACTTAGGCAACCGTGGGTACTGTGCCTGGCTATAAATTTCCTCACTTGATTGAGATTATCCCCTTCTTGCACATAGGCAAATACAGTGCCTCTGAAATCGGCATCATGAGTTGCAGAATACTTGTGACCTTAGTTTCCCTTGCTTGCAAGGTGTTTTCTCATAGGGCAGTACAGGAAATAATTTTTTTAAAAACAGAACTTTGATTTCGAAGATTGTTTTTACGTTTAGCAAAATTTCTGATACAGAGAACATTGATAATATCCACTATTTATAGATCCAGTCTTTGTTTATATATTTTTTTTATTTCATTACAACTTGAATAGCAAAACAAACTTATTTCAGAGAAATTAATGGTATTGTAAAGTGAAAGACATATAATTCAAATGTCATAGATCAGCAATTTTGTATATAACAGGAGTATATGTACTTATACAGGTCAACTGAATATTGGAAAAATTCCACTTGGCTGTTTTGTAGGTATGCTTAATTATATCCTCCTTTTGGTACTCTAAAAGTGTTCCAAAGTCCAGTTACACTAATGGTGTTTGGTATGCTTTTAACTTTTATTATTGGTGAAGACTGATTTCCTCATCCCAAACAGGCAAAAAAGTACCTGAAGAACTCTGCAGACAAGCTGACTGGGAGCTCTGCAAAATAGTTTATGAAAATCTTTTCACAAGTCTAAAAGAATTTTTAATGAATGAAGCCTTGATTTCAAATCTTCTATTTAAGACCATATACTGAAAACATACACTGGGTCTGTGTTGCAGTGCAGCGTTATTTACATGCAGGAAGGCTGCCACGATAGTCAGTAGTGGTCCTTGCTGTTGTCTCTTTAAATGAGCCATTTGATGTAGCAAAACACTGTACAGTTAATATTTAAAAGCAATGTGTACACTTTTCAGGAAAAAACAATCTAACAGCTCTCTTCCGGTCCACTACCATGTTATTTTTAACGGTATGTCATAGTACGTACATTCTAACATAACCTTGATGAAGAAGCTCAGCAGGAGCAGCAGCCTTTTTGAAAGAAACATTTGCTAGGTGTTTTTCCGTATGAAGACTTTTTTAACTAAGTAAATGAGAACACAGGTTAGCGATAACTCAGAGGAAACAACTGAGGAGAACTCAAAGGTCGGAGCAGGAAAGGTAAAGGTATATGGTTTTGAAAGGATGAAGGTTACAGTGACTATACCATCAGCTGGAAAAGATTACCTGTTTGGCTCCTGCAAAGCTGGCATATCTTGCAGTTTCCAGGACGGAGTCTGTTCAGGTGATAGAATGGTAAAAGTCAAAGGCTGCTTTTCTTCACTAACGTTAAGAATATGCAAGACCCATCTAAGCTATGATTAAAAATTCACCTGACTAAGGAGATATGCCTTTAAAACTTCTCGTTTCGCATTTTAACTCTGTAGGCTTTGTTTTAAAACTTGCTTTTTTAAGAAGGCGAAAAATAAACTTATCTAATTTGCAGAAACCGTCTTCCTCGCGACAACAACAGACCCTCTATGAGCCTCCAGTCCTCTTCAAGACTGAAGACTATTTTCCGTGTCTTAATGAAGCACCTTATTGATGATTTTTGCTTTGGGATTGATATGAATCAGCCAGAATAGAGGCAGCCAAGTGAACAAAAGAAATGCTCACTTCAAAAGAGCTGCATTTCTGAGCACTATTGATGGCATATTGCCATTCTGATTCTCGTTGTCTTCCTTCAGGCAGTATTTTCAGGTAATCTTTGTGTATGTTATTTCAAAAGTCTTCCTGAAACACAGTATAAATTTTCAGATTATATTGGGGAAGGAACTTAAGAATACTTCTACGTTAGATTTTTTTTTTTTATTATTAAAATAGGGAAATAATAGGAAACATACTTTTATATAAAAATCTTTTAACACATAAATATCTGTGCTGCTGCAAGTGTAAATAGCTATGCCACAAGGATGTCTGGTTTTGATTGGTTTTTTTGTTGTTGTTTTTGTTGTTTGTTTTTGTGTTGGTTTTTTTTTTTGCTAATATACTGACTGAGATGAAAGAAAAACTATGCCTAAAATCATCTACTCCAGGTTTTGGAACCTGGTCCCTGCAGTTTTTACAGAGAAATGCGCCATGTTGGGATGTACAAGTTGCAAGGAGAGGACTTGGAAGACCGACAAGGAGCCAAGGACATGGCTCAGTGCATGTGATCTAGTCCCAGTTCACAAAGCAAACATTCTGTCCCCACTGATGAGCATCAGGTCACAGTGAGCTGAGCTTCTAATTATTGCAGCATTGTATTGTTTGATGTGTGAACAGGTGGGCATTTTATATATTTATATAACTTGCTGTCAAAAAGAAACAGTGTCTAAGTTGAGGCAGGGATGTCCCTGGACTGAGCCTCAATCAGGCATCCAACCAGACTGTCTGCTTTTCCCTCGCAACCCTCCGTGTGGTTACTTGGGCTCCCTGCGCTGATTGCAGTGTGAGTATATTATCAATAAACTAATAGCTATCTAACCCCTGTTGTGGTCTTGCGTTTCACCTGACGGTATCAAACTGCACCGTTGTTTCTGAGAAACTTTTTGCATACAGCCTCATAGAATACCTAGTGGGTGTTGATCATAAATTGTTGTATTCCTCTGAACAGCAACTTTACCACTGCTGTTTTACTGCCAACAAAACTCACTAGAAATAGCCAACATTCAAATTTCAGAGGAAAAAAGAATACAGTAGGGAAACAACGACATGCCTGCTGATCTTGTGTTGCAAGTACAGAAAAAAGTATGCAGTTGTAGAGCAAGGGTCGTATATTAATAGATAAGACACTGAAAACGGTATGGTCTTGTCTCCGAACAGCAGCAGGGACCAGGTTCTAAACAGTATCTGAAACAACACTTAGGAAAATTAAAACAAAGATTGTGAAGTCAAAATTAGTAGGCTCCAAAAGCAGTTCTAATGTAAAATTTACCTGAATTTTAACATAAAGAGTCTAGAAAAATAATTACATGTAAACATGCAGAAAGGAACAGACATTTGACTTTGAAGAAGGGCTCTCCCCTGCCTCCCATACTCCTTGCTTTCATAAATAGTCTGCTACTTAGGTGTTCCACTGCAGCAACAGTTGCATTTCCAAAAGGTGTGGTACCTTGCAATTTATGCATAAGTAATCCTTGAAGGCTTATCACTCCTTAGTGAAATCTAATGAAATGACATACTTACAACTTAGTGTAGCAGCATAGGCTACAGCAAAATACTGTTAAACTCACTAATACTGATATTACAAAAAATTTTAAAGTAACTTTGGAACAGCTTTCTAATTAAATGAATCAACTGCTTAAATAACAATTTTGCCCTCTGCTGAATGGAGCTAAAATGCAGTTATTTTTAAACGTGATGTAACTTAAAATATTAAAATAGTAAAGGTCTCAGGAAGCTTATACAGCTGAGTATGTCATGCAATATTATTCTTATTAATAAGAGAAATAATTCACATACTCTGAAGTGGGCATTTATGTTAAACAGTTGTATGGAAAATGTAAGTTATATCTTCAAAGCACACCACAAACAAAAATCATGCAATTTCTATAACTAGTAGAGTTCTATGTTGGAAGTGCTCCAGAATATTTTTATTACTGAAAATTATGGACAGTACATGGAAGATTTATTAAGGAAATGCTATAAAAGAACAGACAAAAAATAAATTGTGGCTTTTTGTAAAGCAGAATAACAAGATCACAGTTCATCTGTGAACTATAGTCTAGAAAAGTTATAAAATTAAGGCATTCTCATAATAGTGACAAGATCCACACATGCCCTTTGCTGTTGAATTTGTACTACCTTGACTGTCTCCTTGTTCACGGTTGGTCTCACCCAAGCAAGAATAGCATAAAAAAAAAATCCCTAGTGTTCTCACTCTGTAAAGACAGACGCATAGAATATTCCTTTATTCTGTCTGCAGTTGTTACCTTGTGTTAGTGTAAAACCAGTAATAACTATATTATGAATTAGATTCAGTATTTACTATTTTTGCCAGCTGCAAATAAAATCTAAATCTTGAAATCCACGGATCCTGATGTTCATATACTCAGAAAGCTGTACTTGTATCTTTCTCTGTACAATGTTTATCTTGCTCCTCTTGCTTGGGTTCCAAGATGCAAAGCCAGTAACAGTAGTGCTACCTTACCTGTTTTTAACATGAAGAGCTCTTCAGATAGAACTGATGTAAAGCAAGACATTATGTTTAGTGAGCTGAGCTGCAAAAGGTTGGTTATCGAGTGTGTGTTTGATATCAACAAGAGTCTACACACAAATCTTCTATATCATGAAGCAAAAATTTTAAAGTTATCCTAGTGGTGATAATGCTAAAAGTTTTTATATTCTTAGGTACATTTAGGCAAGTGTCTAATTGAAACTAGTGCTGCGGCTTATAAAGGATACCTGTTCACTGTAAGATGTATGTATATCCATTATATATAACAAAAGCTCCATTCACAAGATAGGCAGGATGGACTGAATGTTAGAGGTCCTCATTTTTCTTAGCTCCTGGACAAAAATCAATGTGACATCTTACCTAAATATTTAGTTATATGATAAATAATGCATGATGTAGGCACATAAAGATTGATATTTGTATTTAATTATCTTTGGACCTACACATTTTGTTCCACTCTTGAGCAATGCTACTGCAGCTGCTGTAAGGCCCAAAGAAACTATAGAAGGATGCACATTTCTGACATGAAAAGAAACAGATTTGATGATTTATCTGACCAAATAAAATAATGAATTGTTTAAAGATTTAAAGATGCACTGGAATACATTGACATTATCAAAACCCATCGCAGTTCATTACTTCTGCTGACAATAACCTTCAAGGTTAAGTAGTTTTACCTGCAGTACTAAGAAATCAGTAGCAAGCTTAATTTGGATTCTGTCCTGCACAGAAACTGTTTAAAAATACGAAGACCTTGAGCTGTAGAGAGTGATCCTGAGTGAAACACCTTCCAGAATGAGAAAGAAGAGCAAGATAGCTTGCATCTACGAAGAGAACTTTACGTTTGAAAATGGTGAATATTTTAAGGCTCCCTTACTGGAAAAAAAAAAAAAAAAAAAAAGAGATTTTTGTGTGATGACACTTTTAAACTCCCTCTGTTTTCATAGAAAAAAGTTCTCGTCTTGGACGAGCTCCCAAGAAAATCTCATATGCCCAGACAGAAGCCCTGCCTTGAAAAGCCAAAATCCCGGTCAGATTTAGTTACGATCAAACAGGTCAGCCATAATGGGGGTTGGTAATCTCTCTAGCCACTGCAGCTAAATCCATCAGGAATGAGGAGTCTTCAGCTGCTGGGATTCACCACCTTGTAGGAGCAGGGGCTGCAACGGCAGAGTAGAGGCTTCATCCACCCCGCTGCTTTCGTTGATTCTACTTTAAGCCGATGGGTGGTAGTACAGCCTAAAGGTGGTAGTACAGACTCCAGCTCCAGCTTATCTCGGAGATTTAGGGAATTTTCTTTACCTTCTTGCTTGATGTTATCTACTCAGAATCTTTCAACACTGGTCATTTTTATGATTTTGCAAAACAGTGTAAGTAGTATTCAAATTATGCGTGATGATCAATGTCTTAAGAGTGCTAAGTAACAAGGAAAACAAAAAAGGGAAACAGAAGGTACTGCTTATGGGCAGTACAGAAGAGTGCTGGTGAGACAGAATGCAGTCACCTGTAGATACATTGTTTGATAAAGAAAAATTGAAGTAATGCCTTTGGAATTATATCAGACAAAAGGATAAGATAGGAATACTGAAGTATCCTGTCTAAAGTCCACATGAAAGACTCAAAACATCATTTAAATTTTGTCAGCTTTAATGTTGGCTGTATGTTATTTGATGGACTATTAGTTTAAGTAATAAAAAAAAGACATTAAAATTACATAAATAGTCATGATAGTGTTAAAGTCAAATGTGCTATCTATACAGGGTCATGAATAGTTTTTTTAAAAAAAGTATATTGAAAATAGAGGTGTATAAATGAGCTGACAGAGCTAAGAAAGTGAACTGAATGTTAGCAAGGATTCCATTAGAGGGTTCTGAGTGAAAAGACAAAGGGGCAGGATTCATGGAGGGGAGGAAAAAAAAAAAAAAAAGCACTTGCTACACTTGCTAAGCATCAATGAAGAAGTAAAAGAAAGATAAGTTTCCAATTTGATTTATCATCTCCCACTGTTCAGAAACTGTAGGTTTCTTGCAAATAGCTTGATGCCTACATTATTTAAAAATAAATTAATTGTCATCTGTTTCTTACAGGTGACACTGTCAGGATTTTCCTTACAAGCAAGTGGTCTAGAAAGCAACCTTTCAAAAAAGAAAAAGCAATAGCTGAAATTCCTGCAATCCTAGGACTTTAAAACTGAGAACTGGCACTAAGTATGACAGGAGCATCTGAAATGTTTCTCTGAACGTGAGTCAATCTAAAAGATTTACAGAGAACTGCAGACTGACTGAAAAGCTAGTTCAGATTGATTCATACAAAAAAAGAAAAGGAAAAAAGAATGGTAAGAGCCTTATGCAGGGATAGAAGAGGCAGAAAATAGCATAGCCAGGAGA